AATAAACCTGAAAGTTAAGCGATTTTTCAGGACGCTACGCAATCAACGCTGAGCGCTTGCTCTTATTGGGTGAGACGTGCAGGACAATAATCTCACTTTAATCTCCAACTTCGTTTACGACGTTCCAGGTCAGCAAATGAAACGTTTTTTACTGCAAGGTTTGACCACGTTCTGACGTGTGGACGATGAAACCGAAGTGTTGCAGATGACGGTTCGAGATAGCTCCAGAGCTCGTGTGCGTTTATCAGATGGACATTTTAATGTTCTGAAAATCTACCCGATGTAGATCCTTTCACAGCTATTACAGAGAATCGAATAGATGAAATATTTTTGATTTGCAATGATGGTGAAAAGATTCTTGCAAAGAAACGAACTCAAGGTCAAATGTTGGAAAAAGAACACATTTAAACTACGCATTCCGAAAAACCTGCTTATGATTTCAGACATACCATTGATATAGGAACTGACCTTGGAAGAACGTTCATTAAAATGGTGAATGAACAAACTCTGCAATAAGCACTGCGTGTAGCCATGTTTTCGGAAGGTATAACAAAGGTGCTTAGTTAATTCTGAAAGGAGACGTTTCCGATTGCAGTATTTACAGGCTCTAAAACTCACGCAGATTCATGATGTTAGTAAAACGTATTGAGTGCCATAGAAAGCAAGGTTTAGACAATGATTGAAATGAGTCGGTTTTCTACAGACAGAGAAATGGAAGGACCCGTCAACCTTGCGTTTAATCAAGTAGTCGGGAAAAAGTAATACGTTATTGACTTCTTTTCTGAGGTGAATGTAGAATGATTGGCAATATCTGGTAAATTTAAATAAATGAGAAATAGAGCAAATTAATATATGACTTCTGATGAGGACGAAAAATCAACAACGTTACTAACGCATGAAGAAGGTTTTACATTAAGAGGACAAAACTTAAAACATTTTTTTCAAAATGGACCATGCAGAACTCAATACTAGGGCAACGCCGACAGGCGAACCAACCGGAATCCAAAATCGTTGCCTGTACTCCACATTATCAAAACTAAAGAATACGCTTGATTTCGGAATGGTGACCACTGACGCCATGCATTTGGCGTTCAACTTACTGAACCATAGACAAACGTTGCTCCTGTCGATTTTGATGTATTTAGGATAACCAATCTAAACCAATATTGTCCAATAAGGCAATTACATTCGAGGAACCCATAGCGATGGATTAATCTTGCTGTATGCCGGGTTCTTTTAATGGTCTTATCGAATCACTACCATTCCAGAGGTGACACTTTAATTTGTTGACCTCCGTTTGAAACAAGTGATCAAAATTTTTGCTAATTGAATATCGCAAATCATCAGAACAATGACTCCAAAGGTCAATGCCGGTTCGTGGAGTTTCACCAGTCCATAACTTGTGAGTAATTTAAATTTGGGTCCAGGTTGATAACATGTATCAAAGCTTTTATCAACAATATTTTCATGGATTTGATAAGCAGTTTTCTTGTTTGACGTTGACAGTGAGTTGGCATTCTCCCTTTCTTCGAAATACGTTCCTTGAGCGAAGCTGTCAGATGATGGATCATCCCTCGATGACTTGCGCTGTACATAGTCGGATTTGCACCCTTATCAACGGACGGGAGTAAAAGTTCTTCCTCCTTCAGTTTTATTCTGGTACTTTCAAGTGTTTGAAGATGTAGACGAAAGAAGTTCCACATGTTTCTTAGCTTATTCTGAACAGTTAAGCAAACTCCGTTGATTACATCTTCCTGATTTGAGGTGGAGTCATTTTGAGTATGGATAATTCCTTCTGCAACAAGTCTTGAGATGGGTGGTGGTCGAGATGCTGCCATACGCTGGTCCTAATGAGCAAACGTCTTTTTCTTCTTCACTAAACTATTCATTCGTTTAAAAGTCGACAGGCAACAAATCTAGTAAAATTTTAGCAGGCCAAAACGACACTGTGCACTTTATAGCAGATTTCTGACGCAAAGCCATTTTATAGGATTCTTAGCAGGCGTTTCTTTACCGCAGCGGATGTTCTTTTTGATGACAGTAGTCTTCCACGGAGCAAGCGTTTTCAATGACATTCCAGCAACGAGCCGAAGACATTGTGCTTAGAACAAGAGGAACTTTCGAACACACATCCTGAACTATATTCGTCGAGTACTGGAAATAATTAGTGGTGCAAAATAACTGGCGCGATTAGCTTTTCATTTCGGCAGCACGGCACGAGGATGATGGAGTTTCTGATCTACACCTACGAAAGTTGCAACAACTTATGCCTGTTGTAAGAGGTGTGCAGACATCGACCATGCTGCTGATACATACATATTATATACATATGAGAAAGAAGCTAAGTAAACCTAGGAATACCAACGACAGAGGTTTGGAGTTCATTGAGTATTTTTGACGAATGTAAGCACGTGACAATGCTAACGTTCTTTACTATGCTAGATATCAGTTCAAATTGTACACTCGATTCAGGTATAGACTGCAAATACGACACACTTCGCAATGTGCGGCGGTCTATTTAACAATGCGAAGTTTTAACATTTGTTTTTAAGCATGGTTTAATGCCACGGTGATTTCGCAGCGGCTACGAAATATGTGAAGTTCAGATGTCACCGTGGCGTTGGAGGGCGGAATGAGTCCGATTTTAGATTACAACGATGCCTCACAAGTCGACACTTTACTTTAAACTCAGTCGAAAAATATAGCGATGATTGATTGCTCTCTTTTGTCCCCCTTTTCTCAGCCATGAACCGTCTCCGTGTACGGTGTTTGTACTTGCTGTCGTTATTGTATCACTGTTCAGCCACAGCAGTTTACAAACGGCCTTTCAGGGTGAAGTTCGAAGGCTACATGAGGACAGTTAACAGGGAGAATGACAGCGTGCTTATCAACAAGCTCAGCGTTCAGATATACGGGCTGGACAACCAGGAAACCAGGCGCAACTACGTCAACAGCAAATCCGCGGTGTATCGAGCGGATCTGATCACGTCGAGGGACAACCGACTCGCTCTGCATTTCTCGTTTTACACCCACAGGGCATTGTGGGTAAACTTTTGCACGAAGTCGCCCGAAGAGCACGTTCGCTTTTACCATCGCTTCAACAACGCCAACCTGGCCAAAAGGTTTCATATGAAATGTGCGTCACTGCGCCGGGGCCTTAGTCCGTACACGCTCATCCGACAGATCTATTACGAACAAGGAACGTCCGTGAAAATCCCCTGCTTCCGATGCGACGCTGTCCGATGGATGAGCGGTCGACCAAATTTCTTCTACAGGATGAATCGTAGAACAATGGTCGATGTAATCGTTCGAGGAGATTCGTATACGACAAATAAACAAATTCACAAAGTTTTCATGGTAAACTTCATATCATCACAATTATAACCAACTGTTCACGAATAGTCGCGATTTAGTTGTGTAAAAGTAATTATGACTAGAGCAGAAACGCTTCGTCGATGGAAAGTGTTACATTTAACGATTGGTCTATTTTCACCATTGTGTGTGCTC